ATTGTGATGCTTATTTGTCACCTATTGCAACTAATTGAGACGCTATCTTTAATCAAGACAAAATCCTTTTTTCTGAAAAGTCATATATGTAGCGCAGTTAGCATTTTATTTCATCAGAAATTTTATTACGTTGCTTCATTTATTCACACAATTCGTATATGGTTAAAAATACTCTTTAAAGTAAAAAATTTTTAGTAAAACTTTTAATAATTTCAGTTATCACTTTTCTCTGGCTTTTTGCGCATTTTTGAGCATTGTTATAACAGATAAATAAAAATGTAAATTTGCCAATTTATTATATACAATATTAATCTTGCAAGCAGTATTATCTCAGGACGTATCCCACAGATTTTTAATGTCCTGGATATAAAAAATTGAAAATGTGTCCTGAGACTGTCCCGTCCTATAATAACACTGCTTGCAAGTGAGCATTACAGAAATATATAATTAATAAAGGCTACGAGCATGTATTCCTCTCATAACATGCAATCTTCTTATTCTATATGGCATCTAGTACAAATTTGGGGTCCGTTGTAACATAAGTGTTTGATGTAAGATAACAACATGATTAACTTGCCTTGAGACGGTCGAATATTGGACATTCAATATTCAACCTAAAATTTTGAAGTTTTTTCGTAATATTTGTCTACACCAGTCTAAATATACTAATCATTACTATATCATATTATTGTACTATAAGTCAATAAATATAACACTTACCACTATTTCTCCTAAAAATAGGGATGCTAAGCAGGGATATTTGGATTTTCATTAATATCGTAAGAAAGAAACAAAATATTTCTTCTTGAACGAAGAAGGACATGGTAATGATTCAGGAATTACGAATTGTTGTTCAGGTCTCAACATTTTTTATAAGTATGGGCCTGTACTTTGCCAAAAAGGAAAGAATTTACGCTTAGAAAGTTACCGTTCGGCTAAAATAGGGTGGGCTGAAAAAAACAAATATATATGGTGCCAGTAGGTTATATCTAACAATCATGTAATCGAAAAATAAAGCATTTTTAAAATCTTTCTGCACATTATATAAAAGAATTTTCAAAAAACCAAACCGATAACTTTATAATTTAACTTATAATTTATAAAGTTATCAGTTTAGTTTTTTAAAAAATTCTTTGTATAGAAGTTATAGACGTATGAAATTTATATATTTTCTTCGAAATTGAAACAATCACGTGAATATTTTATTATATTTGATTGGCCAAAATTAGAGTTTTCTACTTACATATATGCCGAAATACTTTTAATAAAATTTCGAAAATTCCGAAAGTCAAAAGTAAAAAAATTTTAACATATATAAATGCTATCTAATTCTTTTTATCGGTTATGCTAAATAATAAAAAAATCGAGTTTTTTGAATCTATTTGAATAATTTATACACAAATAGTCACTGAACGATCGTTTATACAAAAAACATATAGAGCATTACATTTTTATATAAACGATCATTCAGCAATCATTACGATCCAATCATCTAAATAAATAATAATCAAAAGCAATACAATTAATACAACCTAATTAACTTATAAAGTAATTACCCATTTGATTATAATGTAAATAAAAACATATACTCGCCTCATATTGTTTATCAATTATGCATAAACATCAATGCATTTAATCTTATTCGATATTTTATTTGATCTAAATTTGAACCTTTTGTTGTGTTTTTGCTTTAAAAAACTATTAATAAGTATTTATCAAATAAAAACTAATCTACAAACTACATTAACTATATTAATACTTACTGTTAATTGAAATGCCACGTTATAAAAAAGGAAACAAGAGGCACGTAAATTACCTAGGGAACAAGGTCGTTTCATATCCCAGAAGGAGAATATTCATATACAAGAAGCAGTAATCGATATGCAGGAGAAACGGGAGGAACAGGAGGAATGGGAAAGAGAAGGATTTGAAGTAAATAATAAAAGACAATATACTGGAACTTCAAGAACAACAATCTGGAGGAAAAAAAAAAAGAAAAGGAACTTAAAGATGGAGTATTAACTAATATACAAAACCAAACCTCTGTTAATATAATACAAATGTCTTTAGCACAAAGCCTAACATTATCTGTCGATATCGTAATACAACCACAAAACCCGATAACATCTATTAATACTAAAACATAATCACCTTTAATACATGTGCAAAGCCCTACATCATCTTTCAATTTCGTGACAAATCTTCGAATACGTCTTGAAGAAGTTAATCAACAATGCTCTTTTACGAAATCATCTAAATTAAATATATCTACATATGATTATTTGCGTCTGGTGAGCATAAGTAAATTTATAAAGCTACTGTTGGATGAAGAAGGTAAGATGAATGCTAGTAGACAGATTGCTGAAACTGTGTAGAACAAGGGTGATTATATGTTAAGATGCATTCGAAATTGGGGAGATCATTACATACAAATAGGAGAACTTATTGCTGATCATCAAGGAAAACATACAAAATGGAGGGTTTTCTTAATGATAAAGATGTCTCTGAAAATTGTCATATATGATTACGTCAGCAAAAACCTGAATCACGATCCCTGCACTTTTAAAGGTATATATCGAAGGAAAATACATTGAACAAGGCACCGTTACCGAAAAGACATGCCAAAACTACATACATTTGTGGAGATATAATTATGATGAAAAGAAAAAAGGTGTTTATTACGATGGACATGAGCAGTCTGATGTAGTAGTGTATAGAGTTAAATGGTTAGAAAGGATGTTTAAATACAAGGAATGCATAAAAGATTTTGATGGTAATATGATGGAAAATATAATAGAACCTCAGCTCGAGCAAGAAGAAAGGGAATTGGTACAAGTGACACACGATGAATGTCACTTCTATGCAAATGATGGACAGCGAAGAGTCTGGATCATGGAAGATGAAGATATTTTGTATTCAAAGTATATGGAACGTTCCATTATGGTTTCAGCTTTCCTTTGCCTATGTTACGGCTTATTACAACTATTTGATAAGCAATTGCAAGCGAACCTGCAAATAAAATACAAGGATGCATTTATTCTTCATTCTATACAGTCGGATGGATACTGAAAATCTGAACATATGTTAGAACAACTTGTACAAAGAGCCATCCCGATATTTGAAATATTGCATTCTAAATGCATTAGCATCTTCTGTTTTGACCAATCGACAAATCACAATGCTATGGCGAAAGATGCATTGGTTACAGCAAGAATGAATCTGAGTCCTGGAGGAAGACAACCTAAGATGCGTAATGGCTGGTATTTTAACGAACGCGGAGAGAGGTGTAAGCAAACAATGATATTTCCAGATGATTACCCAGTAGCAATACTGAAAGGCCAACCAAAAGGAATCAAACAAATACTTGAAGAACATAACTTGTGGCCAGAAAAAAAAATTCGTTTAGTATGTGAATGGTGTTCTAATAAAAACGATGATAATTCAGAAGTTTTGGATTGCTGTGCATGACGGATCATATCATGACAGCCTGATTTTTGTAAACAACGATCAATGCTAAAGGAGGCAGTTACTAGAGCAGGGCATATCTTTGAACTTTATCCTAAGTTTCACTGTGAATGCAATTTTATAGAGAGATACTAGGGTTTTACTAAACGAGAAACCAAACGAATATGCAATTACAACTACAAAGACTTACTTCAACAGCTTCCAAGAGTTCTTAACGATGTTCCCGTAACAACTATTCATAAATTCGCTCGTAAATCTTAGAGATATATGGATGCTTACAACAAAGGGTTGGTGGGTAGATCTGCTGAGTGGACCGTTACTAAGTATAAGTCTCATCGTTGTTTACCTGAAAACATTGAAAAAGAAATGGATTTAAATGAGTAATTAGTACTTATTTTGTTTGTATAAATACATAGTACAATAATTTGACAAAAAAAAAAAATAAAATTTTGCGATTATAATAATCAACGTTACAGCTTTATTTGAATCTGCATAATTAGTACAACTCAAATATTATTGGTCAATCAAAATTGAAACAATCCACGTGATTGTCGGATATAACCTACCGGCACCATATTAGAATGACTTCGAATAAACATTTTTCACTATAGTTTTTCTACCCTATTTACCCATAGTTTCATCATGAAACGAACCGGCGCAACACTAACTGATAATGAAAAGTCAATGGTAATCTCCGTTTACAACTATTTTCGGGGGCTAACTTTAAAACGAAGAACCATCAGAAGGCCACATTACGCAAGCGGGTTGCTGAGACTGGAACAAGCGCGGTGACAATACTTTTACGCCGCATAAAACTCTCGGTCGACCTAAATCGCAAACTCTATGAAAACATTTCGGAACTTTTGCGTACATGATGTTGCTTTTTTCTGAAAGCCAGAACTTTTGGAACAGGTTAAAATAAACAAGGAAAAGAACATGAAGTTAATTTCACTATTGAAGGCGTTTGGTCAGTTGTAAAGGTGAAGTTGCACACACCCAAACCTTTTATCCGGTTAGAAACACTCTTCTAAATGCATTTAAAGAAAAAATTTCTTCAAAAGGCATTGTTGGGCTTTGGATAAGAACGCTTAAAAATGCTAAAGAATATTTTGAGTCCGATGAGAATATACAATTAATGGATGAAGAATTTGACGCTTATTATAGTTCTGATGAAGTTCACGTTATATGACGCGAATTTTTATATCATATCTTTCCCAAATATTCACAGTAAAATTTTTTTTATCGATACAATATCTGAGGTACGAATCTTTTTGCTCCGGCCCATAATAGATTAAAAATGGATTATTTGCAAATATTTTAGATGAATCCTTCTATGGCAAATCAGTTGTTAAACTTATTTGAATCAACGCATAAAGCTAAAACAGAGCAGTCATAAATTATAAGATTAATCTTTATTTTATGTGGCTAAACCTTTTGTTCTCATATAATATAGCCATGATGTTCAATTCGACCGATAGAAATACCTTTAATAATAGTAGACGCCCTCCAAAATGCAACTAATGTAGGACGAAGAAATGACAAATGTTGGTTTAACTGCAAACAACCCGGACATTTCGCGAGAGACTGTAGAGAACCACTCGCAAGTAAAAAAAGTCAAAATACACGCGTCTTCAAAGAAAAGAAACCAAGGAAGAAAACAACGTATTTAATCCATCCTTTAATAAACATTGCCAAGCACTCATCAAGTGTGCCAAGGCATACGTTAAAGCTGAACTCTCCATTCCGGGTACTTGAGACATCGAAGACATACAATAAGCAATAAGGCCAGATCAGTTCAAAACTAAAATACGATCTGTCGCTTGCAGAGTCTACAACAAAGTAAGATCAATTGTCCTCTTGATTTTTCTTTTACCTTTATTTTTAGACAAAAATTTTACATCAAGAGCTTAATTACGATTTTTATTGGGCTGCTAATGAAATCTCAAAAATTCTTTCAAAAGTTAAGGGAGTAACATATGATGATGATGACCTTGAAGGTATGACCTTGGAGAGTGTGATAACTCTATGGAAGGTCTGTACACCAAAAAGTGTATAACTATCAATTCTAACATAATTTGATCAACAAATTAGTCGATAATAAATAAGTCTATGGTGTTTATACGTCATCACCCGTGTACAAATATTATCTTTAACTTTTATTCATTTTTACATAGCCGGCCAGCCCTTTCTCATGCATTACTTTACGAAAAATATAATAAAGTGTGATGTGTTTTATGTGTATATGCATAAATAAATTTTATCATCAATAAAAATGGCTAATCCGCTTAATTTAGCTGATGCTCTATCCCGTTCTATTTGTTAACAGACTTTGGTATTACACTGCAGGACCAATACTATGGAAACACGTCAAAATAGAATATCCCACGGTAAAAAGTTTTACATATTTGCAAAGACAAAAACCGTTTCACGGGAAATGTAAGAAATTTAATTGTTTACGCAGATGAAAAACTCTGTTCAAATGTGTTATATTTAAATCTCTTTGATTATGTTTATTTCAATGACAGTGTTGTTAAAAAGATCGTATGCGTATCCTAATTTACAACTTCTTGAACTTGGAGTGGTACAAGCAAATTTTGAGAAGCTACGGTGCGTACTATCGCACGTACATGCCGAAATCTTAGATATTTTGATCATGCCATAAATTAGAGCACCTTTGTATACATGACTTTGGGTATGTTACTGATTCGAGTGTTTGTGCTATTGCACGTTTTTGTCATAGAATCAATTCGGCTAATGTATGATTAGAGATTCAGCTATCAGGGAAATTGCTCGTTCATGACTTGATCTGAAATACCTTCGCTTGGAGAACTGTAGTGCATTAGCAGAAATAGAAAAACTGGATCGAAATATCGAAGTAGAATGGTTTTATACAAAATAAAATAATTTGACTGTTAGTTAACTTAGCCATGGAAAGCATCAAGCTTATAACTTGATCTTTTTTGTCTAGTAAAAGTGATCGACATAAATTACCTGGCGACGTAAATCACGAGACGATCTACAATCAGATTTATTTTAATGCAAGAGTCCAAACCACATGAAACTAAGAAGCGGCAGAACAATTAGTAATAGACAAATCGCGTGACTAAGAAAGTTGGGTTGGAACTAGTAAAAACCCAAAAATGTAGTAAAAATAGAAATAAACGGCAGAAAAAATAATAATTTTTATTAATTACATCCAAAATTAATAAATCTTTGAATTTTTATATATACTCTAAATCTCTGTTTCCTCCATAATAAAGTTTTCGAATAGAAAACTAGCATGATTTTTTATTAAATAAGTAATGTTTGTTATCATCATGTCTAATTTATTTTAGGTTACATATTATTTTTTGATTGCCTATGACAATCACCCTGATTAATTGGCAAATCGGCAATTAAGTTGATGATATTCAAAAAAATCTTTTTTTATAATTTTACAAATTAAAGATAATAGCAATATAAACCAAATAATTTACTTATAAAAAACTAATATTATTTAATTAACTTTTTTTTTTTTTAATAATAATGAAGATAAAAAAAGTGAAACAAATTAATCTTTTTATTTATTGATTGGTATTAAAAAATATATAAATTCTTATTGAATTTATATATATATATTCCAATAATTTTATCTGGGATCTATTAATTGTTGATTCAAACAAAATAAAATCATTTACCATGATAGCATCATATCTATATATATTACAATTATAATAATATCAACCCCCTTAAATTTTTTTATTACCCATTCGGTTTTATAGTTTGCTTTAAATAAATGCTAGTTATTAAAAATAAATTATATATGCCTATGTATAAATGCGCTTTATGAAAAAAAACAAATATGATGAAAAAGATGATAAATAATACAAATGTAATTTTTTTAATGTGAAATATATATTTTTTTCCTTTCCAAATAAATAACGAGAATATTATTTTGCTAAAAGAAATCTGAGAAAAAAAAAGAAAACTATTTGTTATCGATATTTAAATTTCTCCAGATTGATGTGAAAAAAAAAAAACACAAAGTCCTTCTATTTCCGTTTTTACAAAAATTTTCTTAGTTTTGAATACGCGTATAAATGCCAAAAATATCATCATCGAATAAGATTAATGATCTTTTCTTGCCACTATAAAAAATCGATGACTCTGAACTGAAAGAAAACCCTCTTTTTGAATCTTATGATGAAGATTAACAAGTTGTTCTGAATATTTTTCTACTGTGAAATCTTCCACTTGCCATGGAATTGCTTTCAAATAATAAACTATAGCTCCTACATCATAAAATTTCGTCTCTATAAATGCTTCTTGTTTTTCTAGAATAGTGAAACCTACATTTCTTAATTCACTACAAGCATGTTCCATATGCCATTCCCTATAACCAAGATCGGGAGCTCCTAAAAGTTTATTTAATTCAATATTATCTTTTTCGCCAACTTGCTGTGTAACAAATAATCCTCCTAACTTGAGGAGACGATGAACTTCATAAGCAATATAAGGTTCATGACGATTAATTATAAGATCAAATCGAGCATCATCAAGGGGAAGTCGTACATCATTATCAGTAATAGCTAAAAAGAAAAAAAAATTCATTAATATTGTAAATGAAAAAATAGCAAATTCACAACTTTTTTTTTGTTGAAAAGTGCGCGCAAGATAATTATATAAGCAGAATATAAAATCTATACCTGTGACGGTCACTCCCAAATGTCTTAATCGTTGCCTTGCAATATCAATGTTGGGAGCCCAACCTTCTGTCGCACAGGTATCTGGTGGCAATGGACTTAAAGAAGCGAGGAACTCACCACCACCAGTACCCATATCTAAAAGACCCTTACTATTTGGTAACAAGGCTTTCACGGTTGCTTCATAATTCCAAGGTAATAAATTTAACTTTTCCTCCATGCGTCCTTTAAGATAAGAAAAATCCCAGCCTGTGAAAGGTTTATTAAACTCTGCAACTAGATGACGAAGCAAAACGTCAGGGTGGTTATGTTCTTCTTCAGGTAAAGAGTTTACTGTCATTGAAGTTGGATACGCTAAAAAGTCGTTCATTTATAAAATAGAATTATCCAAAACAAGATATAGTTAACGTTAAAAGTTTACTAGTTTTTGTAAAATAAGCCTTGAAAATTGAAGTCATGGGAAAAAAACATAACCCCCGTTTCCAAATTAAGTTAGTACAAAGGTTGAGCTGCTGTTACACGCAAGGGTAAGTATTAGTGGGAATTTGTGAAACTCTTTTTACAGACGAAATTATCATATGATCCATCCAAGAAGAAAGTTGGCGTAATTCAAATTGAAATTTTTCTATTTAATGCGTATATTTATTTGTATACAAATATATTAATATTATACTTGTAAATATATGTTATTATTGGTTGTGATATATAGCTTAATTTTAATGAAAATAGTATATAATACAGAATTATAATCATTGCAGTTACCCTCGATTTCTAAGTTATTTGATTAATTTCGGCGAACAAGATCCTTTCTTTAAATATGTTTAATATTAAGAAAACATTCTATAAAATTTAATTATAATTATTAATAAAATTCATAATTTTAACAATAATAAATTTTATAATATTATTTGTTAGAAAATTACTACTGGTGTTTAGCACCGGTGTCACGTGATTTTCTTATAAAATAATTTGTCACCATTTTTACTATATTTTGGGGACGAATTTTTTTATCATATTCGTCATATATTATTCCAAAATTTATAATTCTGGCTAAAATGTTTTTTTAGAATGTTAGGTAACATTACACAAATCCAAAAGACAATTTTGATTTTGGCAAAATTTAAATAGGATTACACAAACATCTAAAAATGTAAATTTGTAACACCAGTGCTAACTATCAGTGATGATAAATAGTAAACTTCTTTTCATTTAATTTGTTTTTAATTTTTTATTTTTTAGAACTAGTCTTTTTTGAATCTTAGGAATACAACTGATAAATTAATTCTCTTTTTCTTGAAATGAGTGAACTTCTTTGAGAATGTTTACTAATATTCTTTCTTTTTTAGAATGTCTTTTTGGATCTTAGGAACTAACTAGTAAATTAATTCCTTTTTTTTGAATTAGTAGGCTTTTTTGAGAACATTTTACTCATATTTTTTTTTCTTTTTTTTAAGATTAGCATTCTTTAGATTTTAGGAACTAATTGATAAGTTAATTCTCTTTTTTTTAGAATAAGTGAACTTTTTTAAGAATATTTACTAACATTTTTTATTTTTTTAATAAAAACTTTAAATTTATTATTATTTTTTTAAATCACAAATATAGAAGTTTCAAATTATCTGCAAAATTTATTTGATTGGATAAAATTGATTACAAAATGTATCATAATAATCTAAATTTATATATAAATTTTAATAAAATCCCAAAATTCAAAATTTTAAAATCTCAAAAAAAAATATTATCTCAAATTATATTATTCTAAATTTTTTATTAGCTTGAAAAATAATATTTCAAATATTACAAATTTCTCTTAATATATCAATATTTATAAATCAACTAAATTTAATTATTTTTTATAATATAAATAAAATTTAAAATAAATGTATTTATAATAATAGTTACATATAATATTCTACTAAAAAAACTAATAATATGTAATATTTTGTATTTATATTACAAATAATAAAAACTATTTTATTTACTTTTCTAATGAATTATTATATATAATAGTTATTATAATTAGATTTTTTCTAAATTTATATAAACTTTACTATACATTAATTTATAAATGTTTAGAAAATATCAAA